CAGCTTCGGATCCGCGAATTAAGGAGGAGCCGCTCTGGTCGTCTACTATCACATAGCATCGAATAGATTTTGAAGACCTGCCCGGCAAACTAATGTCTGCCAGCAATGTCTTACTGCAACTCAGACTTAGTTTTGCGTCTCCACACACCTGAGTACACAGCGATGAGACTTTGGCGTCGGTGTGGCGTCGGTCTTCCGCTGGTAGAGACGTACGTGCTGGGCGAATACCTTGGCCGCCGTCCCTATGCAGTATGGTCAGATGAGGCATATCGCATTTGTCGCACTTCGGGGTTTCTTGACAACTGCTCCGCATGTGTTGGCCGAGGCAGCGGAAACACAGCCCGTTCTCCCTCATTATTTTGACCTCCGCGTTCGTTTTCTTGAGAAAAAGCCGACACGATTTCAGGTCGTGTTTACCCGTAGGATGTGCAGAGGTTGAGCAGAGGTTGAGTCACTCCTGTAAGTTCGTAATTAATCGCGGGGCTTCTGAGCAGCATCGGGTGCCGGAATTTTTCTGTGGTTCGGGTAGCTGTATTCTTCGACTTTGTTGTCGAGGAACCTGATGAAATATTCAAACTTGGGATATCCACCGCAGTTTGTTTTGTGATTATGGCATACAGTACCCATGCATTTTGGATGTTTTCTGGGAGTTTAGCCCAAATTCGTTTCATTCCTATTGAGCTGTTGAATTGACTTAATTATTGGAGATACGGCAGCTTAGACTTGATAAGCTTGCATACTTCGAGCAGGTCGTCTAGTTTTTCTATCCGATGTGCACTTTTAACGACTAAAAAAGAATCTATTTTCACAAGAAGAGATCTTGCAATTTCTGCGCCGTCGCCGAATTTATCAAATAATTCGCGTTCGATATTTTCCATGGCCTCCGTCGGATTTGCACTTCCGTTCATCATGTACGACCTCACTATTTTTTTGGACTCTACCGGTAGTGTGTGCTTCCAGAATGCAAATCATTTCCCATGGATCAAGCGGGATGTTCTTCAATCTAGTCTTAAATTGGTTCACGAAGAATTGATAAAGATGCAGCTCTCCGTTATAAGGAGGAGATGGTTTCTGCATAAGTGTTTCCTTCAGCAAGTGAAGAGAGGCCGCGTCAAAGCTTGTTTGAGCGTTGAAGGTAGCCCGTGGAAAAAGTTGAAAATTCCTGGTGGCCGTCAGGTTTGATACAGGCACGTCATCAAGTTCTAACGAGTCTAGAGGCAAATGTAAGTTTCTCGTAGCGCCCATTGGCTCAGGAGCCACTGTTGCAGCTTGTGACGTGCGGGGAGCGACGTTCGAGATTTCCTGGTCGATTGCTGCTGGAGCACCAGTGATTTCTCGCACCGGTGGAAGTGGAAGTGACGTCGTCGCGGGGTGAAGTGGGTACAGATCTCTCCTAGGTGCTGAAAGAGCAGGACTTTGGGATTGGTAGCACGACGGGAAGCTTATCTAAAACCCACATCACTTCCGCACTCATCTGACGCTGCGTCGTCCGTACGTCTCGGGAGGTCACCTTGGACGGATATCTCGGTAGAACGCTCATTACGTGATGCGACGTTTTCAGGAGCTAGACTATCCTCAATATTTCCTGCTCCAATAAGAGTCTTCTCGGGGTTTCTGTCTGTCGGAAGCGATAATGACGTCATGGAGCCAAGTTCGGAGATGAGATTATCCCCGAGCAAACTGTTTATTAAGTCGAGACAATCTTTGGTTTCTCTACGTGAGAGCTCCCTATCTTCCCTAAGAGAAGTTGCTAAACTATAACATCCATTTCTGATGTAGTGTTGGATGTTCACCGAAACTTGAGCGTGATATATCTTGAATTGTGCCTTTATGTCCCGTCCGTGCTGCTGTAAACTTTGGTAAGATTCATTTTGAATCACGTCGAGATTCGATCCGAGAAAGCGTCGAAGTCTCTTCCGTTTGCTGGAGTTGGGATTCCAGCGCCTTTGTTGAAAGATTTCTGCTAGCCCTTAATTCCATACCGGCAAGGCAATTACCAAGCCGGGCTATTCAATGTTCAGGCTGGATCGCAAAGTGTTCCAGTGAAATATTGTCGTGACCCCACACAGCATCGGCTGGTATGCTGATGTGTTCAATGAAGCAATTAACCAACGTCCACTGTCAATGCCGAGGCATTGTAAACGCCACTTTAGCTTGGGGTAAAAAACGTTCAGCGTTTGTAGCTGGTGGAATTTGCTTAAATCCGTGGACCTGCCCAGAGAGCAGAACAAAATACAATAACGAAAACAATAGACTAGCTCAATGAAAAATTATGACAAATGACTAATGAAGAACATAGAGCAAATCTAAACGTACATGAAAATACTGAACAATAGGTACATGATTCAAAAGGTTTAGTAACTAAACTTACGTTCGTTTTCAAGGGCTGCTCAACGGAACAAAATTGCGAGACTACTGACAAGATGATTGTTCATCTGTCCTAAGACGGCTGCATGATGAATGAATTCCTAAAATGCGATACGCCTAGACGACGCTAATCCGCCGAGTTAATGGTTCTCGACACAGCTCAGATAACAGGACTTAAAACTTTGCGGAGTTTTACATAGAATATATATTTACCGATAGAAAAAATCAAATTTTTTGTACCCAATATGTTACTCTTTTTCTGCCAAATAATTTCAGGACCACATGGTAATATTCCAACGCGATAGTATCATGAAAGACGTGCCCGAACAGCACATAACTGAACGGCTGAACCCCTCCCTATACACGAGGACAGTAGCGTGGTCAGTTCAAGCGTCGGATGAACTGGCGGCCAGTACTGTCCCTGTGTACAGGCACCGACAGTTTACACTTTACTGTGAACGTATGGAGTTTGGTCCCGTAATTACCAGGGACACGACGAGGTGTAATTTAGTGCATGTGCGTTTTTTATACAACGGATTTAAATTTTTTCGATCTTAAGTTTAAACGGTTGCCAATTGAAGTTCATTGAGTGAGTGTTGAAACTATTTTAGTTGGCATTATCAATGGGATTCGAGAAAATGGAATTTATGAACGCTCCAGGAGTTGTCTATTCCGTTTAATGCCTGATTATGGTGCTAGTATTTGATATTCACGGGTGAAATGTTTTGAATATATTATGTTGATGAATGTAATATTCATCACATTACATTATGAGGTACTGATGAAACCTGATAAAACGATAAAATACAGCTTTTGCGCAACTGAAGAGCGCATAAGTCTTTAACTGTGCCAGAATAGATAAATCTGTATAAAAATTTGAACATACTGTATACTAATTTTCGTCAACGTGCCGCGGATTTAGTTAATACAAATCGTTACGGCATTTTGTTTTCTATAAAAAAAACGCAACTTTTGCGCCATTGTATACCTTAAAATGCCCCCAATTATGAACAGCCCTGCATGACATTTAAAACAAAACTAATTAACAGGAAGACACCGCGTTAAAAATTCACACATTTTCACGTTTCTTCGTTTTTGCTTGAATGGAAATTATGATATCATAACGATCTGACATATTTGGCCTAACTTATCCTCGCCTAACCATCCTCAACCTGATCCCCTACCTAAACTAAAAAAAACTGCGTTGTAACACATCCATGCGGCAACATTTCTTCTCGCTTCGAGTCACCGACATGTGGAACAGTCTCCCTGATACCATCGTTGACGCTCCGAGTATGAACGCTTTCAAGAACAGACTAGACGAAGCTATGCAGGAGCATATTTCAGTCTTAAAATTACTAGCAAATTACGGACCAGGCAATAAGTCCAGCAGCTATTTCAATCAATCGCCAGTTATGGAAAGATCGGGTTCCAAGGGCCGGATCCCTTGTGAATCAAGTCACGAAAAATTCAAGAATCGGCAACAGGCCATGGGCTTATTTCTTCAGTGCCGACACTTCTATTCTATTCTAATTTATTGAAAATTCAATTATAATCGAAAACGCAATCACATAAAAATTTCAGACCAAGACTACCGCGGTTTCATACTATTGTTATGGTTTAATTTTCTCACAGATCTGTTCTGAGTTGAGGGGCTTATGAGCTGTTCAGTTGAGCAATTATTTTTGTTTCAATTGAAAACGAAGTGACTTATAAATCCTAAAAACTTCTTTCCACGGCGCATAAAAATAATTAGTTGTGTTCTGACTCTCATGCAGATCCTTTTAGAATTGAGGTGCTCATGAGCTGTTCAATTGCGCACAAGATGCGTTTGGCGTTTGAGTCCGTTGACGAGTTCGCGGATGAGTTCGGAGTGGAGTTGAAGTAAGAAATAAGAAATAGAAATAGCGGTTTCAGCGTTTAGTAGGCCGTAGGCCTGTCGCCGATTCTTAACATCGCAGAACATTCACAGCATATTGCGGTCTCGAACTCGCATCTCACTGCTACAATTCTGCTGTGCTTAACCGCCCGGCCTCCCTGCCGATTCTGACCAGAAACTGGCGCACAGAGCTGGGATCGAACCCGCGCCTCTCTGCGCCAATCTTGGTACTCTGAACTTTAACCACTGGGCCACCCTGCCAAGTAAATGAGTACAATGAATTCTACTGCTACGCATTAACGCAGTATCACGATTCGGTTCAAAATCCCACAACCAATCCTATAATACCCCTAATAATACTACTGAACGTCAGTTATTATTTTGGAACTTCTACATTTAATTAACATTTTGCGCATTTTCCGATTATTCGTTCGCAATAGTGAACTTATCAGAAAAATCGGAAACTTACTCCGCCAATCGGCACCGTTAATAAGAGAAGAATCTCTGATCCTCCGATGGTAAATTCGGTCCTCAAGCTGTGAATTTATTGAAAACAATGACACGAGCAGGAATTAAGTTTAGTTAGGAAATAAATGTAGTGTTTAGCATATAATAAAGATGAAAAATCAGGGTTCGTGAAAAAGTTAATTTATTAAAAATTATGAATTTATGATAGCTTACTTGTCTCAAGATTGGAGATCTGACTCGCTATCTAGGGTAATTCTGACAGAGAACAGGCTGGTGGGCGCATTTGTCGCCACAAGTCTAAACCCCAACTATAAAAAAACAAATCTAGGGTAACATTTATTCCAGTACGCAAGGTGCCTTATCTGTGGGCAAGCGAATGTTGCAGTGATAATGGCTGAGGTGGGAGGGTTTTCTCATGATCAAGCAGTGAGGCCGAGAGACAATATGCCCGGATCTCCCAACTCTGGTAGCGATGAAGGCGCCGAACAGAATTTTCCTGATGATTTTGATCCATACCATGGCGACCCTGACGAGCCAGATGAAGTGGACAGTTCCCTAGCAGCGCCGCCTGAAGAAAGGTAAACACTACAATACCATCAGTCTTCTATCAAAGAATTTAAATGATAGAGATTACATAAGGAGCCACTCGATAGATCCTGCATTTATCTCACTGATTGTAACTAAAAACCATATAATACTGGGCAGTGATCTGAACTGAAATTGACGATCAGAACAAATGATGACATGAATGACTAAAAACAAATTTACTGGTTTGGAAAATATCTAGGTACCATTCAAAGTTCAAACCAGAGCTTTTCTGCCATTTTTGGAGTTGGAAGATTCATGCTTGGCTGCTAGATGAATCTCAATAATTACCTCCTGCTAGTCCTACATACCTAATTGTCAAGCAAAGTGTGCAATTGGGCCACTAGGATTCAAATAGGTAACAAATGTAATGAAAGTTTTGCCCATTTGGAATAATAGGCAGAAGTTTCTTATAACAGCCTTAACAGGCATAAACAATTGTTTAATTGACAATTTGTAAAAATCATGGATTAAAATGTGGTATTTTAATGAGTTAAGTTGGGTTTAATTGGCCTGATTTAGGTAGGCTATAAGTGTTTTTGTCCAATTCACTATTCACAGGTAGTTTCTATTTAATTTTTTCACTTAGGCACCTTGGAGGCTGGAGCCAAGCATCAAAAACATCTCCTTTTAGTTTAAGGGCCATGACTAGAGCTTTCTTGCCATTTCAGGAACTGCGATATTCATGCCAGATGAATTACCTCTTAGGTATACTAATTGTTAACAAAAGTGCATGTTTGGGCTATGGCCTATGACTCAGAGTTTTAAAATGTATTGAAAATTTGCCACGCTGGAGCCGCAAGATTTCAGGATCAAGTAAAAAAATTCCAATCCTGTTTTGAGATGCACAATTAAATTCATAAATAGAAAAATTCCAAATTTCCAATCCAGTCAGCTTGAGGGCAATGTCAAGAGCTTTCCCTCCATTTTTGGAACTGTGAGTAATGTGAGATTACTGCTAGAGAAATTAGCTCCTATCCGATTGTCAACAAAATTAAACTATCAGGCTGTGAAATTCCAAATAATATACCTTTGAAATCATGCAGCTCAATTTAATACATTCAGAATCTTGTAGCCTAATTGTGCACTTTTAACAATACAGCAATCCCTTGATTAACGCGGTTAATAAATCCCCGAGTTTTACCGTGTTAAGCAAAATTTTTCCATAAGTCGTAACAAAAGTAACAACATAAGATCTAATAAGCAAAAAGTAACACTTTAGTTACGAACGTAACACCTCTGGCTAGAGGCGGGATTATGATGTGTCATGAAAAAAAGTCGCGCTAATCATAACTGGCACCGTGTAGATTAAGGGTAGGTCGCAATTTTTTTTTCCGCGTTAATCAAAACCGCGGTATTCAAAACCGTGCTAATCAAGGGATTGCTGTAATTATGTATGTTGGTGGTACTTCATCTTGAGAAAAATTTAGATCTTTCAACTGATTACTGAAATTTTGCAGCTCCAACATGACAAATTTTCATAAGATTTGGAATCTCACAGCCTGATTGTGCATTTTAGTTAACAATTAGATCGGAGTTTATAAATCTAGACATAATCAAATGCTTCCAAAAATGGCATGAAAACACTTGTCCAACCATGGCTCTAGATCAATCTATGTGCATGTGGATATATTCCATGCCAGATTTAGCAGGAATCTTGCTGTTCCAAAAAAGCTGGAAAAGCTCTAGTCACAGGTTGAAAAGTGTAGGTATATTCCATTCCTGCAGCAACTTGAGTGCTGTGGCAATGTTAGTGCCATTGATGGTAGGTACTTGAAAAATATGTTTCAAAATTACTTACAAAATGTACACCACTTAAAAGGCAGAAATATTGAAAATTTTTGGACAAGTAGACATTAAAGAACAAAAAATTTAATACTAAAATTTATATTTCTATCAATGCTCTTTCTAAAAGTGGCCCCAGATTAGGCCATTCCAGTAGGTCCTTGCCTTCTTGTATTCCCATTGAAAAAAGTTTATATGCTTTCATTAACTACCAGCAACTTTGCAAATAAGGATCAAACATCAAACAATTGCTGTAAATGTATGGTAATAGTTGAAAAAATGTTGCTTGGTAAAAATACACAGTAATTTAGTTTCAAGAAATTTGATCAAACTACCAGCAATGCTGATAATCTCACAAACAGCACTAATTACTGGCATTCAATAGATATGATCTATTTCATAAATAAAAGTGAACAGCCTCTTTCTAGCACAATTAAAGCAGCTTTGTAGCCTTGATCACTTGTTGTAAAATGCCAAATTTTGCCTGCAATACCAGTTCTCATTAAATTGAAATTTAATTGGTGATGAAGATATGGTAAATACCTATAATTGTTTTTTTTTTCCTCTGATTTTAATGCTCTGGTTGACTCTAAACCACTGTTGCTTTCAGCAACAGCATTCAGACCAGAGAAAGGCCTGCATGTCCAATGCTTTGTTGCTTGGTAATATTCTTACCAAAATTGAATTAAATCTTGTTCAGATTTATATATTTGAATAGAAATGGTCATGTTTGTTGCTTGCTTTGTAATGGTTTGCACCATCCAAAACTGAAATTGTGGTGTACCGTGAAATGGGGTAACTTAGACCGGCGGGGTAACTTAGACCACTTTTCGTTTTTTTAACAAAAACCCCCACAACTCAAAAACTATTTGACATAGAAAAATTTTTTATAGGCCTAATACTGAGGCCACATAACACAATAGAAAGATTTGAAAAGTTTGCATATCTAATAGGTTAAAAAATTAAAAATGTGACCCATGAAAAAAAGCTATTATTTAAAGCCTGTCAGAGTACCCCCTCCAATTTTTTTATTTTTTTGTTCATTTGCATATGTAACTAGAAGAGTTCTAGTACAATGCACCAAAACCTGGAGTTATTTGGAGTTATTTTACCAAAAAATATAATTGATTTTACCACCTGGTCTAAGTTACCCCAAGAGCTGGGGTAACAAAGATCATCACTTTTTTTGAAATTACATAAAGACTATGAGAGGCAGGAGCCAGCAATTTATGGTGAGTGAAGCTAGAGTATAGACCTGTATTTTGCATGTTTCAATTCAAGTTTAATTTAGCTAGTAAAAAAATGGCATCATTTATAAAAAAAAGTGGTCTAAGTTACCCCATTTTACGGTATAATATACAGCATTTGTTGAGCTATTCAATACAAATGTTATGTTTTCATTGATGTAATTCTAATTGTTTGGTTGCAGTTGGTATCATGGCCGCATGGATCGTGCTCAATCTGAGAATTGTCTCAGAACCTATGGCAAGTTAGGTGCCTATCTTGTGAGGGAGTCTGACAGACGACCTGGTTCCTATGTTCTCTCTTACTATGGCCGCTCAGGGATATCCCATTTCAAGTGAGTTGTCAATATAATTCTTTGTTGATTGCTGTAATTTATACCTTGTCCAAACTAAAATTTATAAACTAGTTTATTGCTGACTTTCTAAAATTAGCATAGGTTGTAATCTCAGTTACAGAAATTGATTGTTAACTAAAACTGTTGTTTGTTACAGAATCACTGCTGTGTGTGGAGATTTCTATATAGGTGGCAGGCAGTTCAGCGCACTCAGCGACTTGGTTGGATACTACACATGTCTCTCAGATCTGCTCAAACGGGAGCGGCTGCTGTATCCTGTAAGTCTCATCTTGTAGAGCTTTTTTTTCTGTGCTAGTCACTGTGTTCTATTTACTTGGTAAAACACAATGCAAAAGCTTTATCATTCCATTTAGTTAAATTTCGATGAGTTCTAAGTAAAGTACAGGTAAAACTAAGGTGTAGCTGTAATTTTTCAAAATTTATTTTACATTTTGTCAATATTTTTCATCTGGTGTTCTCTCTTCCCTAAGTTTAATTTTTTTGGAGTAGCTATCATAGTTATACTATCAAAGTATCAATGAGTTAAGAGCTTTTATGCTTCAATGCAGGTACCTCCACCAGAACCGGTATACAACCTTCGGAAAGTGGTTGCCATTTTACCCTACACTAAGATGGCTGACACTGATGAACTTGGGTAAGTTACATTTATTCAGACTAATTGAGCATTGAAATTAATTTTTTTTTTCAATGTGTTGAAATTATTAAAATTATGCTTGATGTTATAATTTTCCAATTTGTCCTGAAAATTTTACTCTTTATGTATGTATTTTCAATGCATTTATCTATGCTTCAATTTGATGTCTAGTGCATAAGTGGTGGATACTGAAGTTTGAAAGAAATTCTAATCTTTAGTCAATCAGATGCTATGAACTTCTTCTTGAAAATTTCCTTCTGTATGATGCTACCTTATCATGCCCTGGACCGTCCAAAGTCTTGCTTGGCATGATAGGTTTGCAGCATTTAGCATGGGTGGGCCACTTTTATGGTGGGCATGATAGGTTTAGCCACTTTTAGCATGGGTGGGCGCTGCTTCATGTGCCTTCATACAAGAAGAAATATCCAGCATACCTGATACTAGGTATGCTGGATAATTAATAAATGAGAATGCAATGAAGAGTTCTGGCTTAGCCATCAAAATTGATATTCTCTCAAATTGTTTTTAATGTTTTAAGTAGCAATATCTCCAATTCATATCTGTAACGTGCTATTAAATTTTCTTGAAGATGGTACCTTTTTACATTTTTGCATGCAAAATGACTGTGCTGTATTATAAGGCAATTTACTTCTTCAATATGCCAAATTTTGAAAAAAGTGCTCCAGATTCACTCAATCTTATTTCTGACACTTTCATGTACAAGCTTCATAAGTAAAAATTTCTGTGAACTTCTTAGTCCACCCACAAAAGTGTTTGGTGTGCAAACTAACATTCATTTTAAAATGCTCTTCCATAAATTTCTAGCATGCAAAGTGCGCTGATTCTTATGACCATCAGAGGATTGGTGATTGTCCGACGTATGGTAATGTAACCTCAAATACATACGGGGCTTGAGGGGTGATTTCTGGTGTTATTTATGACCAGTAGACCACAAAATGGTCAACTTTGCATTGTAGGGAAATATCTTCAACTAGATTATTTGTATGATTTCCTGGTTCCATTGAATGTAATGCGCAGGTTCCAGAAAGGGGATATATTTTTCGTACACAATGAGCTGAGCGGCGGGTGGCTGTGGGTGACGGCGCATAGAACAGGCGAGCAAGGCACCATCTTTGCTGATCTTGTTGAGAACCTCGACATGGATATCGACCCAAATGTTGTCTTCAGTTGGTTCCACTCAAATATTACCAAAAACGAAGCAATCGACCTTCTAATTAAAGGTTTTCTAATGTCTCTTTACTATTAATGGTTTTTATTGACATGATCCATGAAAATTATATTGATTATTAAAATCTGAAAATTCTTGATTTAGGTACTACCTTCAATCTTTAAAGAGGGAAATCCCAAGGCTTGCTTCTAGTTCAACCATCACTTTTGAGCAGAGGAATGCAGTTTCCCGCCTCATCATCCATTTTAACATTCATAAATGGCTTCGAGGAGAACTTGATTTTCAGTCTTCTAAAACATTGCAATACATGAATCTATTATCAAGGCATTTCAATGAACAACCGCACTCTGAAAAATAATTATTATGCAGGATGTTATACAGTTCAGAGTCCAAACTTTTAAATTATATATTCAAAGTTTATTGCATTTATCACGTGTATATATGTTTTAATGGTTGTAATTGTAACAGCGGGACCCGGAAGTTTCTTGGTGCGTCCTAGTGACAACTCACCCGGGGACTACACTCTATTCTTCCTAACCAACAACATCATCCAACGCTTCCGTATAGAGAAGCGCGGCGTCAAGTACAGCATGGGTGGGCGCTGCTTCATGTGCCTTGACGCTGTCATCAACAGATATAAGACTGAGCAAATACTCGAGGGGCATTGCCTTGGAGCCCCCGTTTGTAAAGTGAGTCATACTTCTGATTCATGTCTCGTCAATAATAATAGATTTATCTACAGTTTCATCAATTGAATGACGAACTGTGCATGTTATTAAAAGCATGAATATGATATTGCTTATCTATATTTTAAAAGAATTTCTATGATTCATTGTGCTTTGTTGTGTTCAGAGCTCAGGAGATCGGACAGGTCTGCCTATAATTCCCGTGAAGGAAGTGGAGCAGCCTGAGAAAATTTACGCAACTCTTAACGAGATACGCGAGAAGCTTGGCGTTACGAAATTCAAAGGCATTCAGAAGCAAGGCTGGCTTTATAAAAAGAGCAAGAAGAACAAAAAGTGGAAATGCCTTTATTTCGTACTTACAGATATACTTTACTTCTATGATAATCCTAAGGTGAGTTTCGCTCATGTCTCCATGACTGTTTTTGCCTCACTTAAATGATGCTAGATGTCCAATTGTGATAATTAAGCTCAGTAGATCAATTATATATGCAATTAAGAATACATTCCTTGTTTGCAGCGTACGAAACCCCGCGGTCTTATTGACCTGAACTGCAGCTACATGTATCAAGTCCACGACAGCTTCTTCGAGAAGCCGCACTGCTTCCAACTCGTGGAGCGTGAGCTGCCGTGCCTCTCTACCGTCACCTACCTCTGCTCCGACTCTCAGGTACTATTTATTCTTGCATCTTCCATTGCTGTCTCCAAGTAATGGATTGCGGGCATAATATTAAAAAAAATGAATGAAAGACTATTCAATGCCATAATTTTAACTTGTTCCTTCTATTTTTAGGGCCGAGGTTGTGAATTCAAAGTGAAAATTCACTTAAAATGCAATAATGACAAACGATGATAGAACTAATTTTACGCCAGTTTATGATATTTTTTTGGTAACCATTGATGCATTTTCTTGAAAATATATGTTACGGTGGTAGTTGAATAGTGGTAAACGATCATACCCTACAAATTTTAACTGAATTTTCTATTATTTATACTCTAGAGTGATTACCAGAGCCTCTATTTCCTTTTCGTCACTACTTGCTGGCTACATGTGTGTCATGTTAAGGCTAAAAATATTTTTTTAAATCTCGTGCGTAATTACTGTGAACTACCGTAAAATGGGGTAACTTAGACCACTTTTTTTATTATAAATGATGCCATTTTTTTACTAGCTAAATTAAACTTGAATTGAAACATGCAAAATACAGGTCTATACTCTAGCTTCACTCACCATAAATTGCTGGCTCCTGCCTCTCATAGTCTTTATGTAATTTAAAAAAAAGTGATGGTCTTTGTTACCCCAGCTCTTGGGGTAACTTAGACCGGGTGATAAAATCAATCATATTTTTTGGTAAAATAACTTCAAATAACTCCAGGTTTTGATGCATTGTAGTAGAACTCTTCTAGTTACATATGCAAATGACAAACTTTAGGAAAGTGTCATAGTTTGCAAATGGGGGGCACCGCCCCATAATGAGGGAAATGTGACTACCTAATGGCAGCCCTGATGGGGTAATATTGACTGGTTGGGGGTTTTTGTTAAAAAAAACAAAAAGTGGTCTAAGTTACCCCGCCGGTCTAAGTTACCCCATTTTACGGTACTACCGTATGTCTTATATTAATTTTGTATACATGTTTGATTTATCCAGTTTTTGATCATATTATTTATTAAACCTTACGATGTAGTATTACTACATCAGGATGTTGATGAAACTCTGTTATGGTAGGAGACAACGTGCGATTGGATGGCAGTGCTGCGGCCGCTGTGTTTGCCTCAAACCGTCAACGCCCCTAAGCTGCAGAACCTCAAGTTCATGAAGAGCCTCCAGCTGACGGTTCTGCAGGCGGCCAGACTCCCCAGCAAGATTGTACCTATGCCTTACTGCCTCGTCTCCCTCAACCAGGTCTGTAAACCTGTTACATCTTCATATGTTGTTATTGTAATTGCCCATCCTGGTACCTAGTGGCGACTAGGGAAGGGGAATTTACCCTAGACGTTGTTGTATATAGGTCAGTTTTTCCGGGCACTCGGTACCACTGGTAGTTCCACGACCATCACTGGCTCGCTGAACCGCCAGAACCATTATTGCATTACATAACACCCTGGACAAGCCAGGTACTCATTTTCCCGAAAGAACTCACATTCCCGGAAGAACTTGTCCTCAGTGGGACTCGAACCCGGGCGCTGGGTGCGAGAGACAGAGTCTCTCACCACTGCACCACCACAGCTCACATCTTCATATTGTTTTAACAACATCTTCATAATATTGTTACAGTATTTGCTGATTATTTTACGAACATTCTTGAATAGTCGGAGTTTTCACCGGCAGGCGAGGTGATATTTTTTGCTTTAGGTTTTGTGATCGTTAGCACATTTCCTTGCAGTGTTTGTTGTTGACACAAAAATAAATAATTCACCTTGCGTCTGACTGACTATTTAGGGTCACATCGTGCTGTTTGTTTCAATAGGAATTATTATGCTGAAGTTTCCAACTGAATTACTGACGGTTAAGATTTATTTTTGCTATGCAGTTTAAAAAAAAGTTTTGAAGCTCAATTAAGAAGACGAAGTGAATCAGTTGAAGGGCTTAGTGGTGCTCTTAGTGTGCCTTAAGTAGTTGGATCCAATGTGATAATTAATTAACAAGTCTTTGTTCTAAAGATAATTCATTTAAAATTAAAAACGATATTGCTATGAGTATGTTGTGTTCTGCATCGATGTGTGTGTAGTGGATAATTATTCATGGATTCATTGCTACCTTGTCCATTTGGTGAGCGAATGTTTAGCTATCCAGACTTGTATGTTGCTGTTGTATATATATAAATACTTATATATATTTATTATGTATATTTAACACATTATATAATATGTATGTTTATTTTATATATTATGTGTGTGTCAGGTGAAGGTGTGCAGGACGAGGGCCAAGGCTGGGCCAGACCCGGTGTGGGAGGAGGAGTTTGTACTCGATGACATCCCTGAAGACGTTGTGCTCTTCACCATCACCGTCTACAACGCCGGCAAGAGGAGTAAAGACTCCGAGGTGATCTATACTTAATTTCAGTGTACTCTGGAAATGATTGCCAATTTCAGTGTGCTCTGGAAATGACTCCAAGTTAGGTCAATTGTTTGCTTCTCTTCTTTGGAATACCAATATATTCTCCCCATGCTCGTAGCTATTATCCCAAAATTGTTTTATGTGAATTCTTTACTGTTAAAGCTTCATACATGCGCTGTCCTACAATGCTGTGGCATGTGATAAATGAAAATACCGCGTTTATTTTAGTATTGTTACCCCATAGTTCATATTTTTCGTATTGAATTTATTTCCTGATATGTTTTCATGGTTTGGTGTCTTGTTCTTTGTATGTAGTCTCAGGTCTTGGAGTAAGATCAGCCCTATTTTACATAGCGATTTAGATATTTTTGTCTACGTTGAATGTTTAGGTTGCTGAAGTCAACATAGAATTGTCAACGCTACGTAACGGCGAGGAGGTTGAAGAGTGGCATCCCCTGCGCGGCATCACCCCCGTGGGCGAGTGGGGCGCCGTGCGACTACGCTACAGGTCACACAAATTTATACATACAACAAAACAATATCTTATTTTATGGTATCACTACAAGAGTATTCAGGTAAAATGTTGAGCCTCGTTAAATTGTGATTATTCGTTTTAGCTAAAGGTTTATATCAAGTGTGCTCAATAGAAACATGTTGAAACCTGTAATATCTTTTTAGCGCATTTTCTCATTTATGGTAAAAAATGCACTATTGTGCTCACCATGTTCGTCTGTCTGTCTGTTCGTGACTTTACGTTTTCGTCGACGAAATAATGCGCTCTGTCACTCACTGTAGTGAGTACTGAGTTATATTTTTTTATTTGGAAGTGCCTGGCGCATAATTCCAAATGTAGGAAAATACTTTTTTGCAATCCAAAACCAAGTCACTAGGCTACAAAACCTTTAGTAATTGGTGAATACTTTCAACGAAAGACAACGAGTCAAGTCGTTATTCTTGCAGCCGAGTTATGTGTGAATGATTGTGTTTGTATTGTGTGTATATGATTGTGTTTGTATTGATTGTGTTTGTATTAATTGCGTTTATATTGAATATGATTGTATTGATTGCATTTGTATTGACTGCGTTTGTATTGTGTTGACGTGCAGATATTTCCACGACCTGATGATGGCAAGCAGCGAGTACAACAGCTTACGGGAACTGCTGCTCGACCCCAACATGGAGGCCGTCCTGGCCCTGGCCGACCTCTCGCACAGGGACCGCGCCCCTCTCGCCCAGGCCCTCCTCAGGATATTCAGGTACGTTGTTTCCTGAGGTAAGATCGGTTGTTGGCTTCTAAAATTACGTTGGTATTACTAGTAGTAACTAGAAGTATAATAAACTACTACGTTTTCTATGAAGATTCATTTGTTGTCAGTCACTGCGTTTGATTTGAGTATCCCTTCTTGTTTCTATCTTCTGTCATTTCTGTCGAAACAAATCTAGAAACTGTCACTTATTCGTCATTAAGGCAACAATTTCTTGCACGTCTGTATCCATGTTAAAGGCTAAGCCAATACACTAAAAACAAAGAAATGTGATCATGAGTGATTTACCGTTCTCACTGTTAAGAGAAATCGATAGATTTCTACACAAGTGATTTCCAAATAGACTTGAATAGTGCTTCACTTCGGTATTTTATTAACCAATACTGCGGATTATTGTTGTAGGGTGCATTTCCAGGCATCGCCGTTGATGTCAATGTCTTACGAATTTATTCAGAATGTATGAATTTACAAGTATATGAATTTGTTCGGCAGAGGAGAGCGACGCGAGCATGACCTGCTGCAGAAGCTATGCGAGCACGAGATCGAGCGTGAGGCAGAGACTAGTACGTTGTTCAGAGCCGCGTCTCTGACCACGGCCCTCATGGACCTCTACATGAAGGCAACCTGCACAGAGTTCCTGCAGTCCGCCATCTCTGAAACAATCCAACGCATCCTCGAGAGCAAACAAAGTTGCGAGGTCAGACACTTCCTGTTTTGCAGATACCTTATGATATTCAGATACATTACGTCATTTTAATGTGTGAATAACAAATTATGTACGAGTCGCTTCATTGAATGAATTTTTAAAGCTAATTCAGTGATGACTGCTTACAGTTGAACCCGACGAAGATGGACAGCCCCATGGACGCGTGTGCTAATGCCGAGTTCCTGTTGATGATCTTGGACGACATCACACAGAGCATCTTCTCTTCTGCTGCCGACTGCCCCATGTAAATTTACCCTAGCTGGGCTATCATCTTGCTCACAAATTTAACTTGGTCCTCTTTACATTTCGCCGCTGGCATGTTTGAATATTATTAGGTTTTGTTACATGTATTCATAGCATTATGATATATGTGCACGATGCAATGAGTGAAATGACGGTACTTTATTTCCGTCACTGGGCATACGTAATGTGCAGTATATGTTCTGTTTATGAATTACATCCGGAAAACGGGAAAAGGATGCTATAATGAAATTTTCGGATAGATGTAATTTTTTGATAAATTACTTATTATAAATATTTTTAATCTAAGCCTGACCATAACTGATCTATGCACGTGCAGGCCTTTGAGGTACATCTGCTCGCGGCTACAACGGAAGGTCCTGGAGAAGTGGCCTAACGAGCGCCTAGTGAAGACCCGCGTCGTGTCAGGCTTCATCTTCTTGCGGCTGCTCTGCCCTGCCATCCTCAACCCCAGGCAGTTCGGGCTACTGCAAGGTGCGCCCTGGACGTGTGCTTGTGTCCTGCAGTCGCGGTTCTGTTGCTTCAATCGTAGCGGAAATAAGGCTATGAAAGCCTTATATATAAAATGACCTTGACATTTGTTTGTCAAAACCAACACTCCAACAGCGTTGTAAAATATTGATAGTATTCGACCTAATGTCATATCTCACTATTAAATCAAAGTGTTTTTCCATCAAGCCCCTTTCAGACTTCTATATTTAGTTGACCCGAGCGTTGAAAGTTAGTATTTGGCTAGCAGAGTCATGAAACGTATCTCGCGTGAGATGAAAGTAGAATTGAGAAAACGTTTCAAAAGTAGAATTAATTTCATACACGTTTCTGTATAAGAAACTCGACTCAAGGGAAACTTGTCATCATTTGGTGATCCATGCTTCCTTTCAAGTTATGTGTTATTGGATCATACAAGTCAATATCTTTGGCTCGTCTAGTTATTTTTGACTCGTCTAGTTATCTTTAACTCGTCTAGATATCTTTAACTCGCATAGATATCTTTGGCTCTTCTAGTTATCTTTGGCTCTTCCAGATATCTCTGGCTCATCTAGTTATTTTTTGCCCGTCTAGTTATCATTGGCTCGTCTTCCAGAATAAAAATGTTCTATATTTTGCACAGAGCCACCGCCCCCAGCGGCCGCGCGTTCACTCATCATGATCGCGAAGTGCCTGCAGAACCTGGCCAACCTCGTCGAGTTCGGCGGCAAGGAGCCCAACATGGAGGTCGTCAATCCCTTCATCCTTAAGAACAAGGAGAGGATGATCTGCTTCCTGGACTCGCTTTCGGTTAGTGCTATTACTACTTATTTTTAAGTTAAACGAGTTTGTTTCAGATTGGATTGTGAACGCTGGAAGTCGTTCACTGTTGACCGCGTTAATTTACTAATTTCATGTGCATTTATTTTTGTACATATCTGAGGTGGTTATACAGCGATAGCCTGAGTAATCACCTCAGTAACATTTGAGTCAGTAACATAACCTTATCGCAATGGTCCTGACATCGTGAGGGGTCAGGTCTAAGTGGCTGTGAGCCAAGTTAATCAGTCGTTTACCACCAGCTCTACTGTGAGGTTCTACCTGAACTCACTTTGCTCTGTTGCTCCACTAGCGATCTTGTGCCCCACCGCTAGTTCTGGTGGCTGTGCCCTGAAAGCTTCACCAAGCAGTACAATGTCCGTTTTGCTGGGTTTTGCTATTTCAAACGTGTTGCTTTGAAAGTGTTCTTTACTGAAGTAAAATGTACCTATTATCCATATGAAATGGAGTTTTTTTAATGAACAACAAAGTGCAATAAATAACAGCAATTGAAATTTTTTCCGATCAGTGTATTTTTATAAGATAATTGCCGGCGTTTGGCCGTAAAGCTCGAAGGAGGCTGACAAGATTGAAGGTTGCGGCGAACGTCCGGTGATAGGACTAATTGTTTGCTCAATTAATCATGTCTTTTCATCATAGGTTAGAAAATTGTAATTTAACATTGCTTTATTTATTTTGTTTTTTGATCCAACTTTCGAAAATATACGAAAAAAACTAAGATTGTTGATGTGATCGCTAACCTACCGATGTGAGCGAAGGGATGGAAAAATGACTGCTGAACGATTTTATACTCTCGTTTTCTCATGTTTCTCATCAAGCCAAAAAATATTTGTGTAGAAGTGCTTGCTAGAACCCTTAATTTTGTAAGTATTTCGTGTATATTTTGATTGGTTCTAGCGTCGTTATAAAGTATCATGTAACATGGCATGAACATCTCAGAGCATCACTGAGCGCCCCGAGATCTGCGAGGTGCGCACTAAGGGCGACACGTCGCGGGACCTGGCGCAGCTGCATCACATCTGCGTCGGCCACCTGCAGCACCTGGCCTCCCGCGCCCGATCTCAGGTAAGACCAGCAGCCCTGGGCCTATACTTTCAAAAAAGTTAAGAGATCGTAAGTTCATCAGCCAATCATTGACGGCCTTTCAAGCCACTCTTTTAAAAACAGTTAAGAGATCGTAAGTTCATCAGCCAATCATTGACGGCCTTTCAAGCAAAATCCACCAATCATAAACTAGAAAATAGAGCGTAAATACTTACGTTCACTTAGCGAGTTTTGAAGGTATGGCGCCTGGTAACCCTCTGTGTACTGTGAACAATCACCAGGTAAGCCTCTGTGCACTGTGACCAATCACCAGGTAAGCCTCTGTGCGCTGTGACCAATCACCAGGTAAGACTCTGTGCGCTGTGACCAATCACCAGGTAATCCTCTGTGCGCTGTGACCAATCACCAGGTAATCCTCTGAGTACTGTGACCAATCACCAGGTAATCCTCTGTGTACTGTGACCAATCACCAGGCAACCCTCTGTGTACTGTGACCAATCACCAGGTAAGACTCTGTGCGCTGTGACCAATCACCAGGTAATCCTCTGTGTACTGTGACCAATCACCAGGTAACCCTCTGTGTACTGTGACCAATCACCGGGTAACCCTCTGTGTATACTTTTGTACCGTCTATGACGAATCACCATGAAATCGACCCATGTCAGACAGCATAATTTTACTACGTCGTAATCGTACAGAGTGTAGGTACTACCAGTGCCTATGCAGGGGTTACGTACGGTGTATTCATGTACCTTAAGGAAGGGACTCATGACCTAACGGTTGTGAAGACGATAAAATCATCAATCTATCTAATAGTTATGACATCTTAGTTTGGCAATAAATCTTTTCAGCAGGATTTTTGGGAGGAAAATTGAGAAAATCTCCGACTCTGGTCACTGTCATGAATGTATATGAGTAAAACAAGATATGCTTTAATAAAACATCGAACTCAAAAACTGTCATTTACATGATAATAATATGGCGAGTGGTGAGGGTAGTTCCACACCGATGCTGGAAGACTTGATTATTTTACGGTTTGTTTATACGGCAGCCCACACTGAAGAAGCTCGTGACGGTCACCGAGATGCTTCAGAAGCACAAGGAACGTTACCAGGAGATGATGCAGAATGCCAGCGTCCAGGAGATGATGCAGAATGCCAGCATCACCTAGCATCACAACGGGGGCTTCTAGAGAACCAAATGTTCACTTCATAAGTGGCAACACTGAAAGTATTACACTCCTCATGTCGACTCTGAGGCTGCGCATTCCAGCTTTCAACAATTATCGTTTTAAAGTTGTGTGTTTTCGTTGTTTGCTGCGATTTATTTAATAGCAGATTCTGTTGATGAAATGAATTCTGAGTTTGGCTCTTCTAAATAGCTTCAGATAATTGGAAGATCGTCTGTTACGCCAGTCTATTTAACTAACCGAAATTTCACCATTTCGGGAAATCCATCATAATATTGTGATAGCAGCATCGTATCTCATATTCAGTTGAAAGTTCATAAACTTTAAGGTCCAGTTCGACATTGCTTGCTAGAGTGAAACCATAATGTTTCACTCAACCAGTGAACGAATACGTGATATAATCGCGAGATTTGGAACTTCCATGTCAATATATTTTCGTGCCAATCTCTGCCCAAGCTTGAGACGAGCCTGCCATTTGTTTTCGTAAGGGAAATGTCTTGAACTCGCGTCATTTTGTTCTTGTGATTCGTTTATCTTTCTTATTTTATTCATGCTTGCGCTGTAAGGTCGTCACGCAAGACTGGTAAAAGACCTTATCTGTAACAAGAGGTGAAATGTTTGTGCTGCTTTAACTAGTCCCTTATGAACCAGTATTTGGGGATCATGACTTTGAGTTGTTCCTGGTTTTGTTTTTATTATGAGGGACTGAACTGTGCCATCTGTTTAGATTCTATTCTTGGCTGAGTCAATTCTTTCACCACATGATGTCTTATGTGATTAAACCATGGCGTACGTCTTGAATTTACAGACAATACTGCATTGAGTGGAGGGTTGGAATTATGTTTTGTTTCAGATCTGAAAATTTCTTGAAGAAATGTAGTAATTTGGCACGTTTTTGGTATAATTATAGGTCGTCTGTTAGTTGATAAAGAGGCACTTTGCTGCTCATGCTGCCATGTCGATTTAAAACGTCGCTATATTGTGTCTGGTCTACTGGTGATTCTGTTGATGTTACGCTAAGAATAATAATAACAAACTAATGCTAGTAATGATACCAGTAATTAGGTATTCTAGTGGATGTTCCATGATAATAATTATTCTGGTAATTACGTACCGTATTTAACATGTATGAGTTTCTAAGCACCTATTATTTAATACAGTGATTTCCGTAAAGAGATTAAATAATATTTGATTCTAATTTTGACTTCACGCCCTCACTGGTGCATTATTTAAGACCAACGAGCGCTTAAGGGTGTCAAAGAATCGTTTATATATATATTCATCGTCATTTCTAGTGTGCGAAAGATATGAATCATAATAGCTAAGTTCTGTCTGGATATTCTGGAGAGGAATAACCTTGCCGTTCAGAAATGTAAGTGGTCAGTAACATGTTATTGTTCTCGCTTGACGCTACAGCGAGCGTTGTGACATCTATGCTGTAATATTGAATTGCGCCTCGCGTTTCGCAAGTCTTTTAATCCTTAGTAGCTCAGACCTTATCATGCACAACAGTCTCTTTAATTGATGAATTATTATGAATTTGTCTATGATTTTTTATTTTGTTTTTATATGTTCTTAATTTCGGGGTTGACCCACTTAACTTTTTAAAAGGCCAGTAATTTACCATTAAAATACTCGTATGGATACTTCATTTTAAAAACCTTCATTATTTCAAAGTTGTTCATTTGTCTTCCTTGTGATTTTTTATGACCTGTCATTATCGCCTTCTTTCAACCGACCTTTCAACACTTTTATTTATAACTGAGTGAAACGATTAAAAAACTCAATAATTTAATCACGGATCTAACCAAAGTGTCAAGGTTTTCTACGGTGTACGAAAATTTTTTTCTTTATCATTTCAAATTATTTTTTCATGCCATCTGGTAATTGTCAATCGTTTTATTCCTTTTGCTGAAATGGGCTGCAATAGTTCTAAATATTTATTCCAACACAGTCTTTGGACGTGAAATGCGCCGTCCGTATTATTATAACCGTATTGTGCCCGCTATTTTTGATCTTTTTTAGTCTACAAACGTGAGCAACAGTTGTATTGAGCGGTCCATCACATTAGGAAGAAGTCCAATGTCTTCATTGGATAAACTGACTTGGTCTAGATTGAGTATAATGTTACATGAGAAAACTTCCTGATCGAAACGTAGTTTTTCGACTAGAATTGTTCTTATATATGTTATTATTTTCTTCTTCTTTTACCTTATATTTATCTCACTCAAAATTTTCGTGTTTTCCTTGCCATATATTTTCAGTGAGAAATTTGAACAGGTATATCATTTTGGTTTAGTGTTTACTTGTATTGAAGGAGATAAAGTTTTTCATCCTATAATATTAGTTGTACGTAGAATGGCTTCAAGAAGAGAATAAGTCACGATAGATTGCGTGAGTTCATCTTAATTCAGATGGCGTGAAAAAAATAATTTTAAATTATTTCTAGAAATCGCATTTACGTATACCGCAGAAAACCTCGACAGTTTAGTTCGGTTCGCAAATAAATTACCGAGTATTTTTGTACATTGAAATGAAAACAATTTCCTGAAAGGCACTTTTCCATCATGTTTTTGATCTATTAGAAATCGTTATCAAGAACATCTTAGATATATTTATGACGCGCAATTGAGTCAGCATGTTTCTGATCTGTTGAAGCATCGTTTTTAATCTCGAAGTTAATCAGTATTTAATAAGTTACTTGACTAAATTGCTATTTAAAAATTGTCGATCATTATCGATTAGCTAACCTTTTTTTATATTTTTCTAATGATGTAGTGTAGGATTTTTAACATATATCTTCTTTTCTTGTGATATTTTTTGTGTTCATGTTTTCCTCTCGTGAAGTGAATTCTTTGCCTTCAGTATTACCTTCTCTTAGCTTACTGTTAGATTCTCCTTCTGCTGGAAAAATGTATTCTCAATGAACTATTAATTTTAATAAACCTTGATTTGTTTTGTTCATTGCGTAATTGGGACGCGCTGATTATTCTTCTTAAATACGTTTCGATTATCAATGTTACAACCATGCGTTTCTTAGGATCCTACAATACTCTACTGCCAAATATGTGTGCATTATTACTTGTCCTTACTTTATTTCAGATTTTTTTTGTCTTTCACTGTTCTATGTTTTCATTGATTATTTATTGTACTTTGAATGCTTCTCTGAATTAATGTTTATAATTATCCACTCGTTTTTCCCTATTATTATTTGTAATTTACTGTGTTAAAGAAGAGTAGGTAGTTTCTTCGACTGTACCAATTGTCGTAGAGTAACATTATCAGCAACGAACATAAGTGATTTCAACGACCTTTTGACTTCGCTTTTTCTTCATCGATTTGTTGTCGAGTTGTGAGTCGAATGTTCACATGTTCAGGAACCACGTCGGTGAAGATCACGCTTATAAACTTCACTTGTAAATTTTACTGGCATATTGTAGCAAAAACAAGAATTTCAATCATCTAAGAAATAAAAATTGATTCCTATTAGAAAACTTCCGTTAGAATTAATTTGAAGGAAATTAATTAAAACCAATTAGCTAATAATATTTATACCACCGGGCACGAATTCTCTGCAGTCATGCTGAGCGATAACTTGAGGCGTTGACAATAAGACACTTTTAAAACAATGCAAGTAAATGACAAACTGCCAGACATTTCTACCGGTGTCATTCGTAGGCATGCAATCTTTTTCTCGAGAAATTACACATGTTTTATTCATTAATTCTGCTTTGCATTGTATTATGATTTCCCTCGATTTTTGCTTTAATTGCTTTTTACTTTGGTGCCAAGCTTATTGGTAACGCATTCCAGTGCGGTTGTTCATTTTACTCAATATTTGCGCGTTCATTGACGCTGTCAGAAAATAAGTGTAACTGTTTACTTAACTTACGATGACAGCACAAGTGTTTTAAAAGATGTTCCGAACGTGAAGTTGTTCTATGTATCAAATCGCTCGCTACTCGTATGAGTGGGCCATTCACCTCGACTACGAATGTTGTATGGCAGATGTTGGGTTGAACGTAGAAAATAAATATTTCAATATTGAATGATCGTCTATATAATATCAATTTTACTAACGATGATGTGGGTAACTGATTTATATAAATAATCGTAACACCACGCTTCTTCCAGGGTGGCTGAAGCTGCAAGGCCTATTCGCATGATAGTATTTAAAATTTAATTATATCAACACCAAGACTCTTTCGATTTTCCAGTTTCGTCATGAAAGTATTTAACGTTAAGGGTCAGGTAGCTATCGAAGCATTATTACGTAGTAAGCAATTCATGTGTTAGGTTCACGCGATAACGTATGCTGGTGTGAAATTTTTGTACGTGTAAATAAATAATCGTGTTTACAGTTCAAACGTGCTTCATTTCCTTTAACCCTCTACCGCCGTATGTCACTCACCGGGAACATAACTTTCCACTTATATTATTCGTAGTCTATTGAGACAACACGTACGACAACTTCAAAATGTTCTCTGTTGCGCACCAACGTCCTCGTTGGTGCGCAACAGAGAACATTTTGAAGTTGTCGTACGTGGCGGCAACCATCAGTGCAAGTCATTTTGCGCTTACTTGCAACCTATTCTCTTGGGAAGTAGTTGGTTAGTTTAGTGGCCACAGGTTTACTAGCGCTTCAGCTATTTAGCTATCTCGCAACGAAAGTCATTTTGAACATCACCAAAAAGGTGGAAGGTCTCAATTATCAAAAGTTTCTCAAATCAAAAATAGGTTATCACCCACAAGGGATGGAAGGTCTCAGATGTCCAGCCCGCTGAAGCTGGCTCGAAAGAAACAGCGTTAGCATCTCAAAGAGACGAAGTGACAAGGAGGGACAGGTGAAAAGTAACAGAAACGAAGACACTCGAACAAGAGGTCGCTTACACGGGACGTCGGCCACCCGCACGAGAGAGACAGAGAAGAGAAATGTAAGGAATCCTACCGACATAATAACTTAACCCCACGACTGAGACACACAGTCAGACACCGCGAGCTCAGCGGTGGGGCGCTCAGGAACAATCCCCCTATGAGCGCAAAATCTCATAGGACTTCTGACGAGCACAGACAAGCGTCAGAAGTCCCCCCTGAGTAGGCTTGTGACAATATTGCTCCGGTTACTCATGTCAGGTGGTAGAGGGCGGTCAAGAAAGCCTGGTGTATATCCTTTGTGATGCTATAGATGAAATTTCGATAAAATTTTGAAAGTGTTCCCGCCACTTAAAATTATCTGGCCTAAGATCTTAGCTGATGAGCCTTCTCGTCGAGGGCAAGTCTACGTCGACAGGTGGGTTCAAGATTTCAGGCTTGCTTTTAATCCATATTTTAAAAAATGCGTGGGCCATAAAATCCTAATATTAATGCAATTTCGCACCCACAGTTCGGGCGTAAAGCGTAGCACAGATATTCCCTTTTGCCGTGCCGAACTGAGTCAGGATGACCCACATATGTGCAGAAAGTGCGATGCTATTCGGACTACGTTTCACGCTGTTCTCCAAATGCCCGAAGAATGTTTTCCAGCGTAGGCGACGGGATGTAGAGAAATTCTTCCGATTGAGGATTTGGGAAAATTTTGTGGTCACTAAAATTTATCAAGCCTACACCCTGGCTGGCCTGCTGCTCGACACGTGATGGATTATTTGACTTTATTTACTTAAACTGGGACTGCAACACCAGCGGTGACAGAGAAATCGGAAACGAGGTTGCCTGGTTGCCCACACTGCCCAGCTAACCAGCCTTCATCAAGAAGACGGGAATAGTATGGTCCAGAATTGTCTGCTAACAAACGAAATAATTTTACACCAATCAGTCGAAACACACAGCACTCACAGCAGCGTTCCAGTATATTCACACCAACCACATGATCGAATTAATCCGTAGCATCTAATCAGCCCGCAATCGAATAACAAATCGTCGAAAGCCGATTTATTTTGGAACCAAATCCTACGATCAGAAAATCTGACCTCAGATGCTGCGAGCTAAAAAGCTTCGTAATTTAACGGTGCCCCGGAAGTCACATTCGATCCGCGGTCTGGTGATGCACGGCTGGTTTTATGCAAGGCAAGGCCGGTGATTGGGACAAAGCCGAGTGGTGCACGGCTGATTGGTGGATGTCGGGAGAGATCCAAGCGTTCGATTCAGGGCTTATTGGTGCACAAAATTGGTGGTGCACGGCTGCGCTCCCCAAGGAAGGCCATGGTTAAACTAGTATATAGTTCAACCATGAGGAAGGCTTCTCATGCAACTCCTAAGGAGGAATAAGCTTATTGATAGCAATACGTCGTGCGCTGGTTACAGTTCGAGTGTTGGCAAAGTTATGCTTCGATAAAACGGTTTAGTGATGAATAGTAATTACACTCAAGGATATCCGCTCCCGTGTTTGGTGGTTAAAAACACATAATATTAAAACTATATGATGGCTGATTACTGATAATATGTCATATCCGCGGCTGATCTCAGGCCTTACGTAAAGATGATAAGCGTTCCATTCAGGACGGATTGTGTTAAAAATTGGCGGTATGCGGCGGCGCTTCCACTAGCGGCATGTCCTCGTTCCCGCCTTCCCGGCGTAACCTTCAAGTAAATAAATGTCCACAGCACAGGAAATTCTTGCGTTCCGTGACCGTCCGAAATGGGTATCATACGTGTTGTGAATTTTAAGAGGGTGCTGGTACCTACATTATTCGTTTTGAGTTCGACATTTTTGTGGCTTCAAAGTTCACATGACTCGCGTTTCGTTTGATAAACAAGGATAAAAAAATTAAGTAATCTGTAATTGACGTTTTTATTCATATTTTTCCTTTACTTCACACGTATCTAAATAGATCGATATATATTCAATTATTCATCTTAAATATAATTATATTACGTTAAAAGAAGTAACGTTGCAACGTCATGGCGATTTATTTTTTAATAAACTATCAACACAAATGCTTAACTAAAATTTATAATTAGTACTGCTAATAACATTTAACAACCAACACGCAATTATGGAAGCAGATAAGACCATTTATCACAAAATCTCCGGAGATATGGCTGAAGATATTGATATGATTCATTAAATACATGAAGTAACGATGGTTCATTATTGAATATAAGTTTCATGTATATACATTCCATACTCGGGAAAGAGGATAGTTGAGTGGTGCCAACTACATTACGCAGTAACGCTGCACCTTGTTGAAATAAACTATATGTTCTTTTCGGTCTTGTCCGAAAATTTATTTCTATAAAAATTTTGACTTAGCCTCTAAATATTGACCCAAATTGGAACAGATAAAAGTTCAGCTGACTTCTTGCTAAAGCATGAATTGCACACCAATTTCTGGAACTAAAAAATTATTCATGACTATCATTAGCCATTGTAGTTATATTGCTTCAAATTGTTTCTATTAGACTGCATTGGATTAATAATCTTTACTGTTCGTCATATATTGAAATTGACACTCATAAAACTGAATTTTGAAACAACACGAGCACACTTCTAGACTCGTTTTTTCGCATTCTCGCAAGCAGGGATTGGGGCGTTTCTGTGAGTCAAATGCGGGAAAATTCGAGGTACCTTAACAAAGATGAGTGAAGAACTCCTAGTTGATTGCCAGAGAAATGCAAAACATTAATGGAGAAACAGCTAACAAAGGTACAAGAAGCTAAGCTGATACTTTTTCATGGGTTAGTTTTAGTAGCTGATACTTTTTCAAGAGTTAGTTTTAATAGCTGATACTTTTTCATGAGTTAGTTTTAATAGCTGATACTTTTTCATGAGTTAGTTTTAGTAGCTGATACTTTTTGATGGGTTAGTTTTAGCCATTTGAGTTTTAGCAAGGCACAAGGCGCCGCGATATGTAACCTACGCATCGAAGGAAAGGTTTAAATATGCATCATATGATTGTACACGTCCTACTCCGACTATTTTCAGATGTATACGCGTTATTCATCAACTTAAGCCTATGTTTGAGTGGTGAAGTACTTCTGATAGACTTTCTGGCGCTGGATAGTCTGTCTTCACTTTTACTGCGATTTTGTTGAGTTGTTTCTGCTTCTGTTTGTTCATCTTCGGCATCTTGGCCTCTGTTTAAAATCCTGTGAAGCAATATTCTGTAGGTTCCGACTATAGGGGATCGAGCGCCAAGAGGCGAGGCTTCACTCAAAGCGTTCTTGGAGATGCCCCAATGATCCAGCATTGCTAGGCTTTCTATTTCAGACTCGGTCAAAAGATCAAAAGAAACGTCCGTCTGAGGACTGTTAACGTAGTGAGGGAGAGGCGACGATGGGAACGCTCGGAAGCCAAAACTTGACGACTGTGACTTGAGGGAAGACGATCTTGGCATGCAAGAATGTCTTCTCGACTGAGTTTTGTTGTCCCTGGGCGATGCTGATCTCGCTGAAGAAGATCTGCGTGCTTTGTTTCTGCTGTGCTGATGACTGCTTTGCGATGAGTCGTCGTCGGGTAGAGTCAAAAGTTCTACAGAATGTCCGTGTTGGTCATCAGAGTGATGATGGTGATTATGATGATGATGATGATCAGGAGTCTCGAGGAAGTTCTTATGTGACGAAGGAGAAGAGGGAGCTGAATGAACGTGTTGAGAAGAAGGGGATAGAGCTGCAGGGCATAAATGCGAAGGGGATCGATGTTGGGGGAGAGATGGGTGCACTCCAGAGAGCAGATCGTGCTCGGCGATGCCTGCTGTCGTGAGACGCAGGTGAGGCTCCTGAAAACAAAAAGATCAAAATTTTATTTAACTCCATGGTATCTCTCCTTGGAGCAACATTTTACAACGATATAATATGCTAACTTCATATTAAAATGTGCAATTGTTATCGAAAGTCACGAGAAGGAAATTGTGTGCTACTTACATCCGACTCTGCGAAGGCATTCTATACTTCACTGAAGCATATAAGTTGCTCATTGCCATCTCATTCAGAGATATTAGAAGAGACATCTGTTACAATTTTTTTTTAAATATTAGTTGCCAGTTTGAACAGGTGAAATATGCCAGGTTGAAAGAGAATATTACTCACCTGCACTAGTATTTTCTTGATGAGGTCTTGTGCTGCAGGAGAGACATGTGAAGGGAATGTGAAGGCCCCTGCGAGGATGTGGCGCTTGAGAGCTGAGACAGTGTTGGCCCTGAAGGGCATCTCCGCCGTCAGGATGAAAAATAGCAAGATGCCCAACGCCCACACATCCACGCCCGGACCAGCGTACGACGCGTCCTGGAACACGAATGTTTAGACGCACATATGGGGATCGTCTGCGTGGGGACCTCGTTGAAGTATACAAGTATACTCGTGGTTTATACAAAGTCCCCGAAGGATTACTAGAATTTGAAACAAGAACCAACACCAGGGGCCACGGCTATAAACTAAAAAAACTGCGCTGCCACTTCTCCACGCGACAAAATTTCCTCTCGCTTCGAATCACCGACATGTGGAACAGCCTCCCCGAAGACATCGTTGGCGCTTCAAGTATGAACGCATTCAATAACAGACTAGATAAAGCTATGGAAAAATATATGTTAAGACTTGAAATGCCTAGCACCATATCGAACCCGGTGGAAGTCTAGTAGCTATTTCAAACTATCGTCAGCCATGAAAAGATACGAAAATGACACGATTTTAGATCTTCTGTGAACAAGGCAAGAAAAGGAAAAGAATCAGTGACAGGCCGCATCAGGCCTGCACTTCAGCGCTGACATCACAATGTTATGTTATCAGGGCCGTGATTGTGGCAGATGCAGCACCTGATTGGAGAGGTGGTGGAGAAGAGTAGGAAGATGTGACGGCGAAATCTCTGACTGAGTAGAAATGTTGGCAGGTGTAAGATAGATGATGAAAAGGATGTACGTTTTTCTTAATTATTTTAATATTTTGAAATGAAATAAACTGCCTTAACCTTGTAGAGCTCCGGTGCAGCATAGGGCGGAGACCCGCAGAAGGTGGTGAGGGGTTGGTCGGGCTCGGAGATGCGGGTTGAGAAGCCCAAGTCTCCGAGCTTCACGCGCAGCCGCCGCGTTATGAAGACGTTCTCAGCCTTGATGTCCCGGTGCACTATTGATAGTGCGTGCTGCAACACATTAACATGCGCATTATAATGAAAGAAACACCAGACTCGGCATCTGATCTGCACTATAACGCAAGAAACAACAGGCTCGGTATGTGTTACTTTACGTAGACTGAGTTTAGGTGAATTTAAAATGCTGTCTGTTATCGAACATGCGTGTGAGTGCTAGATTAAATTATTATAACTTTTAATATGTTGGCTCGTAGAAAATGGATTTTTTTGCCCTAGTTCATCCCCTCCTTCCCACCAGGTACGAGACAGCAGACAAGAGCTGAGAAAAGACAGCTACGGCATCTCCCTCCTTGAGCTTCCCCTCCGTGCTGATGAAGTTGAAGAGCTCCCCTCCACCAGCGTACTCCAGCACCAGATGGATCTTGGACACCGTCTCCACCACCTCGAACAACCTGCTCCAGCGGGTGAGGGAGGTCAATTACTATAGCATTGTCGGTCATGGAGAACATATTGATTATGTGAGCCTGCGGATATTGTCGTCATATGTATTTGATAATTTTAACTCTTTATTAACGTAGAACTAAGTCGAACAGCCTGCACCAGCGGGTGAGGGAATCAATGCGCATTGTCGGGCATGGAGAAGTTATAGATTACCTGAGCCTAAAGATAATGTAATCATGTTTACGTGATAATTTTAACTCTTTATTAACGTACAACTACCTTCTACAGCCTGCACCAAGCGGGTGTGGGATAGTTTAATGTGTTTCTGGGTTAAAAAGAGGGCACAGATTGCGTGTAACTATGGGATATTGTGGTCATATCTGCTACAATAATGTCAATCTTCTAAACCTGGCAAATTTTCATTTAAATAGGCGTAAATTTAGAAAAAGCGATAAATTGTGCTTCCATAAGTAATATTGACTCTAAAAGTTTGGTGTGAAGCCCTTGATTATATAAAAACTAGAAAAAATCACCGATAAAATCGTATGAATTATGAGATATTTTAATACATAAACACTAAATATCTACTTGAGTTTTTAAAATTTTTGATGTTTTTAATTTAGTAGTGGTCATTTCTGATTATATAGGTATATGTACGTATCCATATTGTCAGATATCATAGAAGCCCTTTCAATAGTAATCAAGGTCACCAAATTGTACGATGTTGATTGTCCAAATAATTTCTATTGTAAACTGCAAGCGGCTCAGGGTGAATATGCACGCCATCCTTGCAGCACAGGAAAAAATCATGCTATTATTCTACGCATGCTGCGCGAGAAGTCCATTGATAAATTTCCCTATTCACAGGGAATTAAATAATTTCACCTGCAACATCTAGCATACAACTGCTCTCACTCAGCTGGCATACAAGCCCTCATTAAATTTATTGATTAGAGAAATTAATTCACAGAACTTTCCACGAGCAGCAGCCGCGTTAAGGGGCGGACTCTACACGAACAACGGGTTTACATTGCAACGAAGCTATAAGATCACTAGAGGTACTGATGTAAGGGCGTAATTACGTTATATTTCTCGCGTTATATGCTTTGAAACTTACGTTTATGTTCTAAATAAAATTGCAACACTCGAGCACGCTAACGCCCTACGTATTCTGCCAATCAGGAAATAATAACATAACGATGCAGTCGAAACGATTTCTGAGTATACAGTAAAAGATCAACCATCACTGATGGTTAATTTTGATTGATGGTCAATCTAGTAGGACTGATAATTGGTTGATGGTCAAGTCTTGTAGGATTGACAAATCTTTGTAGTCTTGTGATAAATCGTGTAGGATTGACAAAGTTTCTTATTCATATTCATAATTCGCACCGCAGCTCCGGCAGTCAGTAACGCTTCACGCTACAGATGAAAGCGATCACTGCCATTCGTTCAAGGAGCCTGAATGCCGATTAACATAAAATTTTGTGCGCTCGTACACTCAGTCCAAATTTGTCCCGCAGTAGCTATGCACTCTGTGGCCTATTGTGAGTCACCCTGACCCAGTTTGGCCCGGGAATAGGGTGTATCAGTGCTACTTGCAGAAATCAACAAAATTTATGACAACAATGTATTTTTCAGAGCAGGGAGCTACTGAGGGCGCTACTGACCTGATAATGTTTGGGTGAGCGACGGCGTCCATGTTGGAGATCTCGCGCGCCAGCATGCGCTGTGTGCGCGGGTCTAGCTTTGTTTTGTCGATGACCTTCACGGCAACTTTGTCTGCACCGAGAATAATTAAGATATTGTTAAGTTATAAGTCTTATTTAATTAAAAGATACATTTAAATCCACCTGAACTTTGTCTGCACCGAGAATATTTAAGATATTGTTAAGTTATTAGTCTCATTTAATTAAAAGATACATTTAAATCTACCTGAACTTTGTCCTCGCCGAGAATAATTAAGATATTGTTAAGTTACAAGTCTTATTTAATTAAAAGATACATTTAAATCCACCTGAACTTTGTCTGCTCCGAGAATAATTAAGATATTGTTAAGTTATAAGTCTCATTTAATTAAAAGATGCATTTTAATCCACCTGAACTTTGTCTGCGCCGAGAATAATTAAGATATTTTTAAGTTGTAAGTTTTATTCAATTAAAAAACGCATTTTCATCCACCTGATTCATTATTTCTGTAGATAATCATATCTCATGGAATTGAAGGCAAATTGTTTAAAGTTGGTTATGAGTTTCTATACTTAACCGAAATCTTCGGAAAATTATTCTTAATGATTCACATTCAGTTTTTTTATTTATGCATTTTTAGCACGATGCAGAATACCCAAATGTGTTGGAAAAGTCAACTGTACTCGTTGAATGCGTCACGCCCTGAATATACCAATGCTTTCTTATACTCGCCTCATGTCACGTTCTACAGGATGTTTGTTTATGTGTCTTGGCTAACTTTTCTGCCTCTAAGGTTATTTTCCGCACTAAATATAACACAAATTATTATATCGTCATACACATACCTCGAGTTTTGCTAGTGACACAATAGATACTGGACTTAAAACATTTGAAATCTAAGCGAAAATTCTAAGTATATAAAAATTTTGTCCTAGTTGTCAGAATATTCAGTTAGCTACATTGTTTATTTTTCTCTATTTTTTTTTAATAATTTGCCCACTACAACCAGGCACCCACCCCCACCACCTCCCCACCACAACCAATCACGCAGCTCCCTCCGCCAAATCAAACAAACTACTTTTATCTTGGGTTGTCATGGAAACGCCTCCCCTCACTCCCTCTTTACCCCCCCCCTCCCCCTCTGATGTACGATTGTTGTCGCTGTTTTCCTTGGTGCCGTGATGCTGGCAACCAACTGTTGATCCAAACTGGAACTTGTCTGTGAAAATATGAACATCATCCGACTATCTTGACCCATGCGACATCATAAGTAGATGCAAAAGTTTTTTATAACGAATGAATTCATGACATTCTCTTCGAAAACTTTAAATACTTTCAGTTTTTGCCAATAATGCATTCATTTTCTCAGGTCAGGGAATTTATTGATAGGCTTGCCCTAGAATATTCGAATATAATTTCCCAAAATATGTGCCATGTCGTATCGAAATTTATAGTCCACCATACATCTGGTAGGTATTTCTAGTGCCCAGCGCGAAACTGAGAATCGCAAAATTTTCATTCCAAGTGGCGTGAAAGCAAAATCTACTGAAAAATTTTCAATTCACTTACATTTAAGCGTTAATGAGTTTCAAATTGTGAGAAATTCAACTGCTGGATTATTCACAATCAACTCTTCTAATTTTATTAAGCAATTGAATAAATCTCTTATAATTCTCTTTCTCTATGAGAGATGCTGTTACCGGGTAGGTTTTCCCTCCATTACAAGACTGGGCTGGGAATGTCGCACGGAATGAGTACAGCTGAGGGCAACGAACTTGCGACACCTGCTCCGGGAACGACGCCGTCCATCCCGGTTAATTCAGGCAAAAAAAAAAAATTGCTGAGCAAATATTAAATTAGAATTGAATACTGAAAATAATTGAGTTTAAGATAAACTGAGAATTTCTACCACCAAATGTTTCCCTCACTAAAGCAGAAAAAAGCGACCAACTTTGCGTTTAATCATCAGAGATCTAAACTGACTCAGAGATCTAAACTGAATCAGATATCTAAACTGACTCAGAGCTAAACTGAACGTTTTGATCTATTCGATGCATTCAGTCAGTTTACCATCAATGTTAGATCAAGAATGTCTCATGAATGATGCGGGTGTTAATATCGATTAAAATTCGTTCAGAAATTTGAGATCGTTCAGAGGAAAATCATTTCGTGAATTCCGCAGAAGATTGGGCTAACTTCACACAAACTAAACGGAGATAACCTATAGTTCGACCATCGAGAAAAGCCCACTAAATAATTTATAATTCGTTAAATCTTAATCAAATAATGCAGGAATTGAGACAATTACTAAACAGTTCTGAGTATTTCCTTCGCAAAATCTACAATGAACAAATTAGCCCGGAATGCTTTATAGAACTAACAAAATTCGGATTTCTAGAACCAACGCAAGACTAGCTTCTAGAACTGACAGAAATATGGCTTCTATAACTAACAGAAGACTGCTTCTAAACTAACATAAGACTGCTTCTAGACCTGACAAAACACTCCTTCTAGAACTAACATAAGACCGGCTTCTAAACTAACAAAATACTGTTTCTAGAACTAACACTGACAACGATGACAAACAAACTATTGTGTGTGTCACGACAGAGACTGGATGTGAGAGTGTGCCCATTATAGCAGCATCCCATGTCTCTTAGAAGACGACATAAATATAGAGGCTTATGTCCAAACACTCATACTAGAATTAGCACACTCTAGGCACAAATCAAATTAATGATGCTGCAACACATATCGTTCATTCATAATTTATTAATCTGGGATTGATGAAGGATCGATGTATTCAATTTTTTCTAATCGTATTTCATTTGGTTCATAAAGTTATTTATGGCTGATAGAGGTCGACTTAGGCAGACATATTCTACATAAATAATGTAAGTGCACATTAGATGTCATCGATTGGCTGACAAATTACGTATTACAGTTTCAAATAAGAAATAATAAATCGGACTTTATTTTTATATAGAGTTTCAACAGTTTTTCAAGTTTTCTAAGAACTTCCTTTTCAATTACACTTAGGCGTCGAATAATGATTCTGGATAAAAAAGACACGATCGCAGTTCTGAAATAAAAATCCATATATTCTAACGTTTCGGCTATCTACACTTTAGCCATCATCAGAGTAAATAAGATGATAATCTGGAAAGAATAGAAATTCAGATAAGAAT